TTTCAAATGTACTACTGTTCTCAATTTTAGTCTTTAGTTTAACTATAGTGTCAGTACTTTCTACAGTACCGTCTAGCTCCTCAACAACTCTTATGAGATCCTCTTTAAGAGCGTTTTTATACATTTTAGAAAAATTTAGAAAGATCCTACCTTTTTTTTTTCTCTGGCTCCCTTGTTGCTCGCACGTACGATGTATCCAATAAAAACGTTGATTCCACTGATTTCACCTCTTCGCAGGTTATATCGTTAGATGAAAAATAGTTCTTGAAATTGTTCGAATTGTCACCTCTTCGCAGGTGTTTGTGAGTGGTTCCAACCTCTACACAGGCGGAATTTTCGTCGATGGGTTTTCCAACCTCTACACAGGCGGAATATTTGTCGATGGTTCGTTGAAAAATACACCTCTACACAGGTTATTTTGTTATTTGTTCCGACCTCTACACAGGTGGAATATTTGTCGATGGTTCGTTGAAAAATACACCTCTACACAGGTTATTTTGTTATTTGTTCCGACCTCTACACAGGCGGAATGAAGTTGAAAAATTCAACCTCTACACAGGTTGAACGAAGTTTCCGAAAAATGGCGGGAGCGTCTCCTTCACGGACGCTGTTGTTCATTGTCCAGACTTTGGTTCAAAATCGAAATTTTATCTATCCCGGCCGAGCCCCATAATTTGTGGGAGACAACAAGGGGTCCAATACGTTTCTCTTTCTTATGGTTTATTTAACATTAAACAAAAATTAATTAAAAAGGTAGATAAGTTTTTACAGATAAGTTTGACGATGATATTCAGAAGGTAACGCCTGCTCGCGCACCTCTCGCGTTCTCCTTTTTCTCTCTCTCTAATTCTAAGTTTTTCTCAAGAGTCTCTGTTTTTACAGTTTCAGTTCTGCTTTTACTTTGATGCGCCTGCGCGCGAAGACTGTGTTTTGCTTTTGGCTGCATGCCACATATATATATATATATATATATATATATATATATATATATATATGTATATATGAAAGAAATATGTATTATATATCAAAAACAAGAAATAATAGATAATGAACATAACAAGAAATAGCGTAATAAAAATATAAAAGCTGAACATGAAGAACAAAATTATAGAGAAATAAAAAAAAAAAAAAAAAAGAGACTACAAAAAGAACCTAGCGAGTCAGAAAGCAATTTCGGACTTAGGACCGAATAAGTGGGGTTAAACTAGTTTGAAGGCACCAACCTTCCCCCTTTGCAACTCGGTAGGAAAACCAAATAAAATAAAATAAACAAAAATTCAGAGTATGTATATATATAGAGTATATATATATATATATATATATATATCGTTCAAATTTTCAATCGTATATAAAATACTTTCTATTCGTCCACTCAAGTTCAAATATATTTTTTTAACCTTATAGTGGGTGACACTTGATATTAATACAGTTTTTTCAAAGATTCATTCATTTTTTAATTAATGAATAAATAGTAAAAGAACAAAAATAACAGCCCACTATATATAAAAAGGAAAATCACTCGTGTCCCAATAACGCAATGGATAGCGCGTTGGACTTTTAATCCTAAGGTCGTGGGTTGATTGAATATTAACGTCGCACTGTTCAGCTACACGGGGGCTTTTGGCGACGGACCACGTAATTTTGAACCATGGTCAAGTGACGTGGACGACACCTGAGCTGGCACCCCCTCTCCTAACTACCACACCACTCCAACGGGAAGACGTTTCAGCTCTCGACAAATTTAACGTGCATCGCTGCCCTACACGGTGGGTCTTTAATGGTACTGGGTTCGAACTTGTGACAAGGCAAGCCACGATCCGATACCTATACCACTCGGCTACCGCAGCCACCAAAGGTCGTGGGTTTGAATCCTACTTGGAATGGCCTAATTTCTGAGAGTGTGATTTCATTTTACCATTATTTTATTGGAATAATTACATTTATAATTAGTGAATAAATAGAAACAAACAAAAATAAGAGTCTAACACTCTATATAGAAAGGGAAATAGAATATCGCATTCTATTTTGCCGCTTAATATTTGATTGTTATATATATGTATATAGATATTTATATGAATTGTAATTATTTAATAAAAAGTAACTAAAATAAAATTTTTCTTTCTTGACCTACATAGGAATTGACTTAATTTTCTTTTTATTACTCGTATTTGACAACTAGATCCTTTTATTCGATGAACTAAATAATTCTTCAAGATCATTTAATGTGAAGAAGGTCTGTGTTTTCTGTTTTCCCATTTGCTTCAGTTTCCCTTTCTTTTTCGTAAGCTCGTTCTTTTTCTGTGCTGATGAGATATTCGACATCAAGAATCCATTTAAATACACCCCATCGACATCATCTAGTGATTCGAAGTTTAAATCGTCGTGACTGTATCCATTTCAGGATCAAAGCCTCAAAAATCGTCAACGTAATGAGGCACAACATTTTTCTGCGCGGTGATTATGTCTTCACTCACTTCATTCCATGCGTGTTCAATATTTTCAAGAGCATTGTGGACATCCTACTTTTTACGGTACTAACGTATTATCGCAACAATCACCAACTCTATTGATAAATCGCCAAGTTGGCAATTCTGATTTCCTATAAATTGGCAACAATGTGCTTCGTTTCATATCATGTCGCCAATAGGTTGCGATAATACATAAGTATCATTTTTACAAAATGTGATCATGGAAGGAGTGGTTTCGCCAGAAGTTGCTTGGATTTTTTAAAAATGAGTGAAAGTTACATTAATGCCACACTATAAAACCACACGAAAGGCTATTGGTGACGAATTTCATAATTCTGGAGGGTCAAGTGACAAAATCTACACCTGAGCTAACACCCCCTGCCAAACTAGCACACCACACCAACGGGAGCACGTTTGAGTCATGACAGATGGAACGTGTACAAGGGGTGACACAAAAGACGAGACTAAGTGTGTGGCTCGAAAATTGAGTGGAGTTGGCAACAACTGTTTTGGTGACGTCATTCCACGGACCTCTTCTATCCATTCGCCTTAATTGATCACGCTAATTAGGAGTACTGTGTCCTTAAGTGAACAAGTGCAACTGCTTTCTGCCGGAAAAATGTCAACGTCAAGTTTCTTGTGAAACTTAAGGAATTAGCGACGGAAACATTTTAAATATTAACTGAGGTTTAATGAAATGAATTTTTATCTCGTGCACATGTGATTGAATGATATAAGCGGTTTTCAGTGAGAAGAGTCAGTGTGGAAGATGATGAACCTGCTGGACGCCCAAGATCAGCGATTACGAACCAAAATTCGTGCTATGAGTGGCTTCCCACTCACCTCAGTGGTCAAACTGTTCATAAACACAACTACATTGAAGTACTAAAAAGACTCCGTGAAAAAATTATGCAAAAAGGACAGAATTGGAGAATGATGAATGACTGTTGCACCAAGACAATGCGCCCGCTCACACGGCCCTATCTGTCAAGCAGTTTCTGACCAGCAAAAACATTACTGTGATGGGGCATCCTCCATATTCACCTGATAGGGCCCTTGCAACTTTTTTTTTTAATATCCTGCAGTTAATTCTTGCTTAAAGGGAATCCATTTAACCTCAATTGAAGAGGTTTAGGCAAAAACGGAGAATTTCTTGAAGGGCCTTTCAAAAACCTCGTTCCAGAACTGTTACCAACAATGGCATTATCGATTATAGAAGTGTGTGAATGCTGAAAGGAACTACTTTGAAGGTGGTAATGTCACAGAGAACTGATTCTGTAAGCACAATGATTTGTTGGACCAGTCTCGTTTTTTTTTTTTTGTGTGTCACACAACGTATCTATCCATCTACAAAAAGGGTCTTTAGTGGCACTAGACTCGAACACATGGCACCCGGCCACAAGCACTTGACGATAACCACTAGGCTACCGTAGCCATACAGTACAGATGAAGTATTTAGGGGGGGGGAAGTGAATTTTGACAATGTTGCAAAGATCAGAAAGTCCAGTAAGATGACTTGGTATGTTATCTAAAAACATAAACGGTCAAAGAGGCATCATTTTATTTTTCACAGTTAAGTTAACGGGGCAAAAATATTTTTTAAATCAATTCTGGAACATAGACTTAGAAACCTATTCTTTCTAATAAGAATGCCATAAAACAGCTAATACATTTTTATCGCATGCTTTTTAAGTGCGGAAATTTTCATACGCTTCAAATGCAAATCACCTGCACTATAAGGTAATTCAATCCTTTTGTGCTTTGTAGTCTGGGTGATCTACGTGCAAGATTTCAATATTCGGTTCTTATCTACAATGTGGATCGAAATCCAAAATTAAAATTAAAATTTTGTTTGAGGTTGTATTTTTTATTTTTAGCCAGAACAAGGCTCTGAAATGTGCTTACTTAAATAAAAAAATCGATTTTGTTTAAATAAGTGTGCGTTAAGGGTCAATTCCTTTTTTCCCTTGTCATCAGGTGCAGAGTTATAACTGCTGAATTAACGCCCATTCATCAAATCTCCCTCATCACGCCGCTAGAGAAGTTTAAGGTTGGACGATTTAATATGCAACGACCCCTATCACTCGATACAAAGGTCGTTGGTATAAAAGTCAAATGCTTCCGGTGATTAAATTGCACCTGCATAGGTTACGTTATCACAGATCAATATTTGTATTGAAAGAACATTTACATGAGCTTTTAATGAAAATATAGGAAAGTAAATAAATGAGTAACACACAAAATAAAGCAAATGTGACCTTTTTCAAATCTTACTATTAATTCACACTCTCCCTATATATATTTATCTCTCTCTATATATATCTTGTTCAAATTTTCAATCGCTTATAAAATACTTTTTATTCATCCACTCAAGTTCAAGTAAATTTTTTTAAACTTGTAGTGGATGACACTTGATGTTAATGCAGTTTTTTAAAAATATTAATTCATTAATTAAACAGAATAAACGAATAAAAAGAATCAAACAAAAAGAATAGCCCAATACCCTATATAAAAAGGAAAATCGCTCGTTGTGTCCCTGTAGCGCAATGGATAGCGCGTTGGACTTCTACTCCAAAGGGTGTGTGTTCGAATCTCACCTAGGATGGCTTAATTTCAGAGAATGTGATTTCTTTTTACTATACTATTTTATTGGAATAATTCATTTTAATTAATGAATACATAGTAACAAACAAAAATAAAAAAAAAATAGTCTAACGCCCTATAAGAAAGGAAAATGGAAAATTGCAAGGAAATTGGCTTTCTGTTTTGCCACTTAATAGAGTGATTCTGTCATATGTATATACATATTTATATTAATTGTAATTATTTAATAAAAAGTGACTGAAATAAATTTCTTCTTTGTTTACCTAAGTAGGAATTGACTTATAATTTTTTTCTATATTACTTGTTTAAAAAAATTTGAGTTCATGGATGTTGAAAAATATTACTACTAATTAAAAAGTCAGTACTTACGTATTATACCGTCGACTCATTTTGCCAAATTAATAAACATCGCCAAATCACAAAAGACGTTGCCAAATGCTGACACTGCGAACAATAGCAGCTAAAATTTATCTCACAGACATCTTTTATTTTTATAATCCTTCAGATAATCTAAAAAACCTTTAGATAAATGACAATATCTCGAAAATATACGTACATTTTTTACATAGTAAGTTCCATAAGCATCGATTACGCGTTACAATTCTTCTCCGTCTAAGCAAACATATTTAGAATAATTACAAAAGATGCCAACTTAAGCAACATAACTTTAACAGCAGACGATTCTACATCAGCAAATAAACTAAGTAAAAAGATAAATTAGAATTACATTAATTATATATTGAATTAAAGCAGACGATAATAATATGGAAGAGAATTTTCAACTTAAACAATATGTATAACTGCTGCATAATTTTAATAGTCAATTAAAAATTGGTTCAAAAATATACAGAAAAGAAATTTAAATAGAATTAAATATATTTTACAATACGAATCACACACAGTCAATGCATGCAGAAACAAGATTATTGCATTTTCATTTGTCTTTATTCGTTGTGCATCGTGGCATTTGGTGACGCCTTTTCGTATGACGAATTGGTCGATAGTAAAATACGCAAGCATCAAAAAGTCAAATGAAATTGTTTTGCTTTACAAAACGAAGAATGCACCCTAATTTTCAAATGCAGCAACAGAGATTTTTGTGTGTCAACAAATAATATAAAAATCCTTATACATATATATTTGCAACTACCGTATGCTTTTAGAAATCGTACTTTAGTATAATGTACACAAATTTACAATAAAACACTAATGCATTATGCGTGAGTGCTGCAAGAAAGTGTATAATTAATTAGACAATAATTTATTATGTCATTTAATAAATAGCAAATCTTCAATATCCTAAGGAAGTGTTCAGTAATTTAATAGAGTAGAAAAAAAAATTAAAAAAAATTTTCTACTTTTTAAACTATTGACATAATTTAAAAATAATTCTTTTAATTGTTCTGCTGTTTTTTTATTCCAACAGTTTTTTTAGCTGCAAATTAAATATAAATACTTTAATTTTCTTACTAAAATTTTCATTTATTTATTCTCTGGTGGCAGCGGTAGCCTAGTGGTTCTGTTCACGAGCTCGTGGCCAGCCCTGGGACAGGGATGGCGAACCAGTGGCACGCGTGCCATCAATGGCACGTGACACAGTATTTTGGGTACTCCAACGATTAAGATGGTTTGCTTTTTATTTCAAAATAACAAAATTCACAATGAAATATTACGAGCAAACGCGAGTGATCGGTCACGGAGCGGCGGGGAGCACACTCGTATGTTATTGTCACTTAGTTTCATCTTGGACTACAGTTGCTTATGATACAAAATTTGTCTACGCATAGCATAGTCAATTTCGTCGACAAAACTGTATTTTAAAGATTATTTGTGTTATATTTACATTTTTTAACTGTTATTTAACATAGCTAGTTCAACAAAAGAACAAAAAGTGCAAAATAGTAAGTGTAACAAAAAATTTCAAACTTGGTGAATCTAGACATATGGCATGATTAGTAAAGGTGACAAAGTGGCGTGTGTTTTATGTTCTGGAACAGTGGTATGCGGAACATCGTCTGTAAAACGGCATTTTGAGACAAACCACAAATCCTCTTGTAAAAAAAGTGAACCACATCAAAAATAATTAATTGCTTAGAAATCATTTGGCAAAAGACTCCAATTCCGCATGTATTCTGCTAAAAGTAACATCTTACAATCCAAATATAAGTTATTTGTCATCTAATCTGCAACAACAGAAGTCACGTTAATGTTACTTTAATTCGAATTAATGTATAACTGAAAAATTTACAACCATGCGGTGCAAAAGATATTTTTTCGTTGTAAATAAAGAGTTTTGAGTTGTTTGTATTTAGTTTTATTATTTTCCCAATAATCACAAGTCAAAACTATTTGACGGCATTTCTGTACCTCATTAAACACTCTTCTGCAAAAAAAAAAAAAATCTATTCAGATTCGCCACCCTTCACCCCTGCCCTAGTGCCATTGAAGACCTGTCGTATAGAGGCTCTAATGCGGTGATCCGCAACCCCCGGTCCGCGGACCGGTACCGGTCAGTGGATTAAATAGTGCCGGGACGCCTAAAGAACATTAAACTATTGCCATTTTATTTAAGGTGGTGCATTTCACTCGGATTTGCGCAACTTTCCACGGAAATCACTTTTATTCATTTTTGGTGTAAGTATCTTTTATTTTGAAGGCATATTTAAATGTAACTAAATTAAAACAGTTAAATTAAAACAATATAAAATATAAATAATCAAAGTGTACCACCCTCAGCGGGCCGCGGTAAAATTATCAAACGCTGACCGTTCCGCAGCGATAAAAAGGTTGCGGAGCACTGCTCTAATGGACGTTAAATATGTCGAGGCTCAAAGTTCTCCCGTTGGCATGGTGTGATGGTTTGGAGAAGGAGCGCCAGCTCAACCATCGACGTCATTTGACTCACAGTTCAAAACTACGAGGTCTGTCGCCGAAAGTCTTCGTGTTGTTTTACTGTGCGATGTTAATATACACTCATTTTTATCTGGTTAATCTATATAAAAATATTATAAATAGAGCTTTACGTACTATCACATTATAATGAACTCACAAGGTAATGTGAAGACAATGACAATCTAAAGTCTTTTGAGAATATGTCGAAAAGAACAACTATAATTCCGTAAATATTCCCCATTTTAATATCACATCTGATAAATAAGCAAATAGAAACAATCTTCTTGAACTCAAAACTACCAAACATGATTCAAAACAGTGAGTCATTGACGACAACAATCACAAATTTAGTTTTGTAAACAAACATCTATTTCATCAATCATGGAAGGCCGTTTTAGCAAATTGTGCAAATAGGACTCGAGGACAATCTTCTTTCTCAAGTGCACAAAAAAACCACAGAAAAGAGTGAGACATCCATGAAATGAGGTAATCCAAACACCTGCTAGAGGTCAGAAGGTCGAAATGCCAGAAGATTCGGTGCACGGTTTTGATGGTGTGGGAGACAGCACCTTGGTTAAAGGCATCTAGTTGGAGCCTGCGTGGCAGACACACCAATTTTGTTGTTGGTTTTTACTTAGGTATGAAGGCGCTCTGTTTGGGCGTTGTTGAGCAAGGTATTTGTGTTTCTTTCCTTTTTAAAAGTGAGGTAGTGTATTGGTAGGTGAAGGAAAGGTGTTTGAGATAACTTGTTTGGTATAAGGCCATTCATTAGTGGGAATATAAAAGAAACTGTGATCAAGGATACTATTATTTCAAGATCAAGGGCAAAACAAAGCCTTATTAAACAATGGACTAAATTCATGTGACGTCATAGTCACATGATACCTGAGCCACGTGTTTTCGGCCAATCAGTTCATAAATTATTACGACGTCATAATTATATCATAATTATAACCACGCGTTTAAAGCCAATTAGTTCATGTGCTTCACTGTTGCCAACTTTTGCTTTTTGCAGGAACTTTCTTTAAGAAAGTACATATTTGTCAACGATATAATAATGCACATAGTTAAACAAAATGCACTTAATTTAAAAGTATTCGTATAATGTAAGTATTTTTTTTTAGTTTTGAAAACTGTTTGAAGAATTTTACACACACGTGAAATCTTTACCCAATCACCAAATTTTAAATGTTATCTACACTTTACAAGTTGAACAACTAGTATGTCAATTTTTAATGAATGGGAAACACGTGATTGCCGTTTTCATGTGACTATCATGAATTTAGTCCATTCATTTTAATCAAACTTATGCCTAAAAAGCTACAATGATTTGAGACTTATGAAATTTTATTGATCTTCGATAAGACAATCAACATGTGCTAGTTTCTAAGCACAGTCTTTTTATTCACATATTTGATGTCATTTTCATAGATAGCTATTTGTTCATTGATTGGTATTTGTTTTAAATGATAAAGATTTGGCATAATTTGTTTTACTAAAGATTTTTTAAAACTTTTAATGGGCTATATTCTTGTGACGTCATAGTCACACGACAACTGTTACACGTGTTTCCAGCAAATCACTTCATAAATTTATGTGGCGTCATAGTCACATAATAAATACAATCATATGTTTCCAGCCAATCAGTTCCTGCCCTTCACTGTTGCCCCCTTTTGCTTTTTACGGAAACTTTCTTTTACAGAATACATATTATTTACCAACAGTTTTGTACATAGGGAAAACAAAATGCATTTGATTTAAAAAATACACACACACACAAACAAGAAATGTTTTTTAAAAAAAATTTGAGACATTTTTTGAAGAATCTTGAGAGAGGGGGATACTTGAACTTCTTTACCCAATTATCAAATTTGAAATTTTATCTAAATTTTTACAAATAGAAAAACAAGTTCAAGTCCAATGTCAGTTTTGAATTCAATGGAGAACATGTGATTGCATTTATCATATGGCCGTCATGATTTTATCCCATTGATCTGTGAATAACGGCTTATAAATCTTGAAAGCAATAAAAGTTTATAGAATTTTCTACATTTGAGAGATTCGTGGAATCACAGAAACACTGCCGCTGTATGAAATATTTTAGAAGTA